ACAGTACTATATAACATTTTAGACACACTCTAGACAGTTTATCAGCTAAAAAAAAGTTCATTTTGGGGTAAGTTACTCTTTTAAGCCCCTTCTCAACTCCACTCTATGCCCTTCGCGCAATTCCAGAACCTCCTCTCCAGTGGTTCTAAGCAGGTAGAACCAAGTACAGCACTCTTACGATTTTGACGTCAGCAAAGTGCTGCCTGTGAATTAGCTCTTGAATTGATTGACAGAGGAAGGACGTTACTTGTGCGAATTTATTCTGCAAACATTCTTCTGGAGAGAGATGCTTTTGTTTTGGAGTCTGAGTGTGCAGTACAAAGACATGGTGAAAGCAGTAATAAAACCACGGTCTAAATTGGAGGTGCAAACCTTTGGGAAAGGTAGAACTTGCAAACACTTCCTGGAGAGAGGTGAAGGAGGCGAGCACTGGACAAAGCGAAACTGATATCCTGGGAGGTTTCGGACAAGTTGGCTGCCCACAGTTACACAAGCACTTATAAACAGCACCCTGACAATAAATAATGAATTCAGTATGACTTAACTGTCATACTGTGTGTTTAGCTTCTTGTACAAGTCATCATAAACCTTCAGTTTTGCCTTTGCTGCTTCATTCTTTGATCTACAATAAGAAGGTATTACCTCAAACTAATATCTCCTTGTGATTTTGTCTACTCTCACAGTCCCATTTATTCTTCTTCCTTTCTGGATGGCTTCCCACAGTTCACTATTCCACTACCAGATCCATCTAACATCTTATTTTTGTCCAGACATAACACACTACATACCTTCCTGTTCTCTCTCTAATCACTGTTGCTGTCATTGCACAGACAGTTCTTCTATTCCACTGTTGTCTGGCCACGCTTTCACCTACCACAACCAGTCCCTAATCCCCATCACTTTACCTCTTCTAAACAGGATGTAGTCTACCTGCACACTCCTGCCAACACTCATACGGGTCACCCTATGTTCCTCGTCTTTTGGAAACAGGTGTTTTTTCCACCTTCTTGGCAAAAATCCATCACCATTTGGCATTCCAGTTTCCTTTCCTTTAACACTAAACCTCATGACTTCCTCATCTTCTCGGTTTCCTTCACCAACTTGTCCAGTCCTGTCCACTCTAATCACCACTCTCCTCTGGTAATACTCCATCACTTTGTCTACATCCATCCAAAATTTCTCTTTCTCCTTTACCTCATATCAAATCTGTGGAGCAAAACCACTGACAGCATTCAATGTCAGACTTTTACCTTCAGACACATCATCCTTCCTGCCATTTTTTAACCTCTACTACATTGCTTGCAAACTCCTCTTCAGGACCACACCTACTCCATTTCTTGTAGAAATAAAATAAAAAAGCTTAAAGCCTGTGTTCTGCTGCTTGGGGCCAGCCGAAGAAAAACACTGGCTTGTGATCCCCAGTGACTGGTTTTGGAGAATATCTGAAGCTGCAACCCCAAAAATCCAGTAGTAAAACCTAAAATAGTTTAAATATTGGTTAAATTATTTTTTTATTTGACATTTATTTAACCAAGTTAGTCAGTTGAGAAAACATTCCCATTTACAACGATGACCTGYCTAAGAGACAGCAAATACATAACAGGAGAGCACAAAATGGGCAACATATAAGCAGTTGACAAACATAACATAATACAGACTCTGTGAGATGTTAACAATCGAAGAACTAGAACAAGATCGTGTACAAATGAGTGACAACAGAGATTGAGGAGGGAAATTATTAAAAGCATGTACAGCAGTCATCAAGCGATGCTCTCACWGCGTTTTTAAAAGATGCAAATGGAACAAAAGAAGTAAGTCATAGCATTTTTGGAAGATGGTTCCAATCATTAGCTGCAGAAAATTGAAAATATAAATGGCCAAAGAAAGTGTGTGCTTTAGATACAGAAAAGAGGAGGGTATGAATTGCTAAAGATATTGAGTAACGAGCTGATGCAGGATGCTGCTGCCTATGTTAATTTCAAAAGTGTTTTAGCAGAATAAATTATGAGCATGGAGGTATTTGCCAAGGTTGGTTTAAACCAAGCCATGGTAGGTGTAATGTAGGTGGAGGAATGCATTGTGCTCAGCCAGTAACATTTTGGGTTAAAGTAGGTTTGGTTTTTCAAAAATCAACTCTGCAAAACATGGTCACATGACTTGCTGGTTGATTGATCGCAAACTGTCAACAGAAAATTTTTTAGCAGTTGGTTTACAATTTTTAGACTCTTCTCCAGTACTCAGCTCAGCAAGATACTAGCTTTAATAATTGAGAAAATTTAAATAAATAACCTCTGGGATAACAAATCAGTTAATCTAATTACACAGTAAGTTGATCTAAGAACTGTTTTTAATTTACTCAAGGTGTATTTTATTTTCCTTTCTTCTCTCTGGGATCAGAACCCAACCCAGGTGGGCACAGCCTTGCAAGTCTTCTATAACCTTGGCAGTATAAGAGATACCATTAACTTTGTTGTGGAGGGCTACAAAACCACCATAAAGGACAACATCAGCAGCGCTCTTGACATCAAGGGTCTGACACAACCAGCTAACCCCAGAGGTAAGACCCAAGATTCAGTTTTCAATTCAGTTTATTTATATAGCACCAAGTCTCYTGGCACTGTACAAAAAACATTCAATTTAAGGAAAAAGGCAGATTACATTTAARTTTAACTTCATAACAATCCTGAGCAGCACATTGGCAGCAGTGGAAAGGCAAAACTCCCTTTTAACAGAATGAAACCTCCAGCAGAACCAGAACCAAAWCCAGGCTCAGGACAAYTGGCCATCTYTCTGGAACCAGCTTGTTTGMGMGACAGGAAAGAGARGGAGAAAAACAAACACAGATTGGTCCAGGTGTATTTRCCTCTGGAAGAGAGACTAAACAAAACCTGTTAGTGCTATAAATAATTACAACAACTGTAATTCACCTCCAAAATTCAGCTTTGTGTGCCTGCGTACTGAGGGACAAAGACTCAAAAGGTTTATAACTAATARTGGTTTAGCATTAATCAATAACTCTGACTGATAAACAGCAGGCACTCTTCCACCTGAACCTGTTGTTCTTGAAACATAAACATGTAAATAATTAACAGGGGTGGATTAATTTATACCAACAAAATCCTCCTGTTGAAACCAGGTTTCTGTAAGACAGAATAAATCAATATGATGATCAGTTATCTGATCAACTGACAGACTTACAGGAAAGAGATCTGGTGTTCAATAATCTACACCTAATGATAGTATTTACTTCTGGTACAGTAACTGTTTTCATATTTATAGGATCTTTATGATTTTTAATATTTTTTTTATGAGGATCTGGTTCATTAAGATGTTTCTCTTTAACACATTTGCACAAAGAGTATGTTGTCCTAATTTCAGAAATGTGACAGGATATAGCATTTTTTTAAGGCTGACCTAGTTCAAGTGTTGCTTGTTCCAAAAATAGGTTATTGTACCATGACCACAGAGAATAGTTTGTTCTGGCTAAAAAATGTGTCATTTTCATGGCTCTGATGTGGTCCWTTATTGCTTTAGTTATAACAGGATTCTTGCACATTCTTGAAAAGTCTAGAATTACATTGTTATTGTTTTTAAAGTCAGAATAATTATATAAAATTGTTTCCATTATTGTTTCCAGACTCTGTTCACTATCGCATTGAAAAAAAAAGTATTTTTAAAAGTTGGTAGAGTGCACAGGGACTGCTGGATATGGGTACCAGTCACCACTGTGATCCTGAAAGGAAGAAGCAGGTAAAACGATGATGATGGATAGAATGAGCACYGTGCTTTTCACAAAAATAAAGGATAAGCTTCACTATTTTGTTATTTACCCCCGAGGATTACTGATTTTAGGAAATTTAAAAAAAGATAATTATTTGTTGTTAGATACCCTAACTGTACTCTGGTGGGCATGGTGTCACTAACCCCCTAATCTGCTAAGAGTGGAACCAACTTTTCATTGAGCGGTTTAGCCCTTGCACTAATTTTATTATTATTCACTGAACTTCACTTCTGCCTATATAAATTCCAATTATTTTTTATTATCCTAATCATTTTTTAAGCACATCGTACCATATTTTAAATGTATCTGTCGCAATGATATACTGAGCMGTGCTGTGTAGAGAAAAGCACAGTCAGTTCCTCTAAGTCTGAGGCCATGGTTCTCAACTGGAAATGGGTGAAATGCACCTGCTGGTTCAGGGGAAATTATCTGTCTCAAGCAGAGGAGTTTAAGTGTCTGATTGTCTTGTTCACAAGTGATGGTATGATGGTGTGGGAGATTGACCGACAGATTGGAGCCTCTTCCTCAGTGATGAGGGCATTGTTTCGGTCAGTCGTTGTGAGGAAAGTGCTGAATCGAAAGGCAAAGCTCTTGATTTACTGGTTTGTGTASTAGGGCTGGGTATTACGACCAATTCCCTAAATCAATTCCATTTCAATTCATAAGGTTCTGAAGTGATAATGATTCAGTTCCATCTGCTTTTAAGTATGAAAATGATTCAACTTGTTGCAAAATACAAATGTATTTTTTTCCCTTCACCATAAACAACAGGTTTTAAGGGCAAACTTGTAAATTGGAGTAGGTGTTTGAGTTCTACAGTGCCACATTCCCACCTAAAAGCTTTATAAAAGTTAATTTTATGTAAATGAAAAAGTTAAATATCAAAATTTACCGAATTTCCTTCTGAGCAGCTGGCCTCGACATCCAATAAATTATGGGACTGGGTGGATCAAGAAGGATGATGCTTGAGCTATAACATTTTTGTATATCTGAACACCAGTTTCAGATTGTGACCCCACTTAAAATATGGTGTCTATCGCAAAACTGTTGTAGGTCAGCCACATCTATAMTCCTATCAAATTTCYTGCTGRTAGTTGCAGCTGTTTCTYTGTTATGGTTGACCAAAAATCTCGCCTGGACCTGTTYCGTCTGTGAACTGACTACAGATTATCGGCAGAAAATCGAGATGAAGATTATAAYTTCAATAACACCAATCGACAGTCACTAAAATTTAAATTATGGAGAGTAACTTTACCAAAACAATGTTGGACTTGGTAGTTTTCTCTGGTCCCTTCCCCAACTTGACCAGRGATGACATATTTACCTGCTAGCTCTCAAGGTCTTGTCCTGAAAACAATGTGAGCCACATAGTTGGAGTGCATTTTGGTAAAAACTACGTCTGATAATGGAGAGATGGTATCCATCCCACTTTGGATGAAGCTGCTCTTCTTTCTAGGAATTTGCCCCACTATWGCAGCACAAACAAAAATTTTAACAGCACAAACAAAGCACTAAAATTAGACCAGTCCAGTTCATTTTGGAGTAATCTGAGGGGAAAGTGACCCCTGAATGACCTAGAAAATAATCTAATATCTCAGAAACCATAGCAGCACAAAATGAAAATTTTAGCAGTAGAAACGAAACACTCTGTTTGGATTTTTAATATGGGTGAGGGTTCGGCTTCACTCGGTTAGCAACTAGACTTCTGTTTTGTAGTTGTAGATTTGCAGAGTTCAAAGCTTTTAAATARGTGATTTAAGTATTGATATTATCAACATCTGGATCAGTCTGTTTACACATTCTTCAATGATGTACAAATTCAATGAAATGCGGTATGGCCAAATAAAGACTGCAGTTAGTTTAAACATTTATTTGTCACATACCAATGTTGTTGTTGTTGTTGTTGTTGTTGTTGTTGTTGTTAGAAAATTTGACAAGTAAAAAAAAAACATTTTGAAAAAAAAAACTTTTACCACTGGTGTTAAGTCCATTGTACTGCTAACAATAGTCAAAACACACTAGTTCTGATTTGATTAGCTTTTTTTTCTAAATGACAGGAGTAGAGTGACTAATTAAAAGAAAATGCAGTTCAAGCAAAAGGAGTAGTGTTTGTGGATTTAGGAAAAGATGGTGTGTTTTGTTCCCTCAGGTGCTCCTGGCAGAGCAGTGATGCCAACACCAGGAAACACAGCAGCCTTCCGTGCTGCATTATGGACAAACCTGGAAAAARTAATGGACCAGATATGTGCTGCATGTAAACAGGTGCCTAGTCCGAGAATGAATGTACATACAGAGCATTAGATAAATCAGCCAAAAACAGGATGAAATGAAAATTGAATAGTATTCAGAAGGGCTAACCAACTGTGTCTGAAATTTTCTTTGTAAAAACTATAAAGGTGCAGCACCTGCAGAAAGTTTTGATGAAGAAGCGAGATCCTGTCAGTCATGTGTGCTTCATTGATGATATTATCAAGGTGGGTAATCTTGTGAACTCTTATGATGTCAAATTCATACAATTCATAAAACAACAAAGCAATGAAACCAATTAAGTACTGATTATTCCCTTTAAATTAATTCAGGAAATCAAGGTGATTTGTGTAAATTTTGTKTTCGAAAGCAAAAGGTGTCAAACGAATTGTAAAGCCCATTTTTTGTGAACTTATCCAAAGCCAGAATAGAAAAGTGAGATAAAGACACAGCACAAACACCTCTGTATTCAGTATTTCCTCTACAGAATTTTAGGTTTTGTTAAGTTGGCTGACAAAAAAAAGTCCAGCTAATGTAAACATGCTCTGTGGTACATCAGTTGAGCATGTATTTTTACTGTTTATGAAATGCTAAGCTGTTATTTCCTATCCAATGCTTCCACTTTTGGCCAATTTTCCTTCTTCTGCATCTACMTTGTTCCATCAGCTTTGTTTCAAGCAGAGCAAAGCGTAGTGACCGGACCTTGACTAACCCAATCAGCAAGATCAGAAACACCTGATTTATTGATTGTTTTTATAATATCTTGTTTTTAGTTTATATTTTTACTGTATTATTTTAAAAGTAGCACGTTGGCAAATGGCAGTTGTTTTTAAATGTGCCATTTAAATATTAATTAGGTTTGGTAACAGATTTCAAATTAAAGTAGAGTGCATTTCATGAACAGTTTATTTTTTTGCAGAAAATTTTTTGCTCTCTTTGCCTTAGTTTATCTATCTCAGATTTTTCATAGGTYTTAAGTAAGACTTTTGGTACTTGTGCCCAGGGGTGAAACTAGCAGGGACTTTGTATCTTGGGATATCAGAGAGAGGTTTTCAAGAATGTGTTGCTGTTGTTCAAGTTGTAATTGCTCTGTATTGCTCAACTAGTATTGGTGATATTACATGCTGTTCGGAGACATAGAAAAAGAAATGCAACTCTCTTAGCTTTATGGGAATATCCKGGAAGACGCTGACAGCAGGAATGGCTGATCAATCGTGTAAGGTAAATGTTTGTTACATCAGAACTTATTCAGCACGTGTTTCCAACTTCCCTTTCATGCGTTAACTATTTTTGGAAAATCCAAAAACCACCTTAAGCAAGTGTAAAAACATTTTTGAGAAATGGAGGATTTTTTTTTCTTTTTCGAATTTTGCAGTGTCTATCAGCCTTTTCTAATGTGATACTTTAAAATGAACATAGAAGCGTTTGTGGAAACACAGCTAATGTCTGGTGATGGGACGTTGTCAGTGTCTTACTTTGTTTAGACGGAGCTAAAGTAGCAATTGAATTTGTTTGTCCTTTTTACATATATTTGGGTTGTGATATCACCATCATCACCTCTGTTGAATCACCACTTTATCATATTGGCGGAGTTTGTGCTCTTGAATGATCCTAGGAGCTATGCTGTCAGGGGCAATTTCGATTGCTCCTGGTAAGGTTTACCATGGCAGCTAGGAAACAGGCCAGACAAAGAATGATTCAACAGACTCTTATGGACATACAATATGAAGAAACTTAATGTCCCTTGCCCAAACATGGGTTACTGGGYCCTCATTCTGGAGTCCAGCCTGGGGGAGGGGCATGTCGTGAGCACCCAGTGGCCGGGTCTCTACCCATGGTGCCCAGTTGGGCTCAGCCTGAATGAGGTACTTGTGTTTTTCTTCCTGTGGGACCACCACCTGCAGGAGGGGCTGTACGAGTTGGGTGCATGATGTCTTGAGCATTAGCCAAACATGGGGACATTAGTACTCTGACCCTGGCCAACCAAAGCTGGCTGTTGGGACATGGAACGTCACCTCTCTGGTGGGGAAGGAGCCTGACCTTGTGTGTGAGGTGTTGAGAGGTACCAGCTAGATATAGTTGGGCTAACCTCAATGCAGAGCTTAMGCTCRGGAACCAATCTCCTRGAGAGGGGCTGGATATTACTCRACTCTGGAGTTGCTCATGGTGAGAGGRGCCAAGCTGGTGTGGGTCTACTTTTGGCCRCTRGACTTGATGCCRGTGTGTTGGAGTTTACCCCAGTAGATAAGAGYGTAGCTTCCCTGCACCTTTGGGTGGGGGGACAGGCTCTGCAATCATTTGTGCTTAAACACCAATTGATTGCTCTGAGTATTCAGCCTTCTTGGAGTCTTTAGCGAGGGTGCAGAAGGTGCTCCAGCTGGGATTCCTTTATTTTAGTGGGGGACTTCAATGCCCATGTGGGTAATGGCAATGTGGCCTGAAGAGGACTGATTGGGAGGAACGGCCTCTCTTATCTGAACCTGGGCGATGTTCTGTTGTTGGACTTCTGTGCTAGTCACAGTTTGTCCATCACAAACACCATGTTCCAACATYAGAGTGTCTATAAGCGCACGTGACACCAGAACACCCCAGGTTGCAGATRGATGAWTMACTTTGTAGTTGTGTCATCTGATCTGCATCTGTATGTTTTAGACACTCAGGTGAAGAGAGGAGCTGAGCCYTCAARGGATCATCACCTGGTAGTGAMTTGGATCAGATGGCAAGGGAAGACGCCAGACAGACCCGGTAGACCCAAATGTGTAGTGAGGGGTTTGCTGGGAACGCCTGGCAGAGAAACTCATCAGACAGATCTTCAACTTAAACCTCCAGMAGAACTTCAACCACAWCCCAGCTMAGGGGCGGGGARATTGAGTCTGAGTGGGCCATGTTCRGCGCCTCAATTGTTGAAGCAGCTGCCTTAAGCTGTGGCTACAAGGTTGTTGGTGCTTCTTACAGTGGCCATCCCCTAACTTGGTGGTGGACACCCCAGGTTAGGGAGMCTGTTAAACTTCAGGAGGAGTCCTATCAGGCCTTGTTGGCTGGTAGGACTCGAGTCAGTTGAGGATTATCGGCAGGCAAAGCGGACTGCAGCACTTGCTGTTGCTGAGGCAAAAGCTCGGATGTGGGAGGAGTTCAYTGAGTTCATGGACTAAGTAAAGCCTCTTCATCGACTCCGAGGAGATTCTGGCAAACCATCCGGCGGCTGAGGCGGTGAAAGTGACACTTTAACTAACACTGTGTTCAGTGAAAGGTGGGGTGCTGTTAACCTCAACCAGTGATGTCATTGGGAGGTGGAAGGAATACTTCTTGGACCTTCTCTAGTTTTCTATGGAGGAAGCAGAGTCTCAGGACTTTGGGGTTGGTCTGTGCATAACTGGGGGTGAAGATCAGTAGCTTTTTTCAGCTCTGCAAAGCTGATTTGGCTTTTGATCTGCACTTCAGTATAAAATGTCCTCAGGCATTCATTGATACATGATTACATACAGTCACCTCCAAAAGTATTGGAACTGCATGTCAGATTTCCTGTTTTTTGTTGTGCACTAAAGACATTTGGGTTTAAGCTCAAAAGATGAACATGAGACAAGAGTTTTGTCTGTCCAGGGTGTACCTTGCCTCCCACACAATGATCTCACATGAGAAGAAAAGGAAAAAGCATGAAAAGAAAATTGATGATTAGTGTAGTAACATTATATCAGAGCTGCACTTGTAAATGTTTTGTCATTTAACCATRACAGTTTGTCTTTTYCCTGAGTTATTCAGATTCTTATGTTGCTCTTTTTAATCAACTTCAAGGACAACCTGTTCTCAACTGCTGACACTATATCACTGCAGTGAAATGAGTCTTTTTTTTTCACCTGTCAGTGAAAGATAGGGTTGATSTATTTGAAGATGAAGAATAAATAAAMTGGAGGTCTCTATTTGTACAGTAGKTCTTCAAAAAGAAAAGTAGCGTAGTTACAAGATTTACCAAAATAGAAGATAAAAAAAAATTTCAGGCTATTCAACGCATACTTTTTTACTTGAATTGACAATGAGAATGATTTGCCATCTCATAATTGAAACAGAAAACAGAAACATAGCTGAGGCATGTTCTTAAAAAATACATTTAAATGTATTTTGTATTGTCTTTAATACATGTTTCTGTACAATAAGATTTGTGATCTGTATTGCATCACATGAGACACACTCAATTGGGCAGCTATTTAAGCGCCCAGAGAGAAGTTGGAGTTTAGGTGTCTTGCTCAAGGACACTATAACATGTGGCCATGGCAGGGAATTGAACCTGTGACTTTCTAATCCCAAGTCAACTACCCTACCATTGCTCAACAACCCTCACCTCTTGGTATGAGTCATTGWTTGAAATGGTAACATCTGGTCTTTGCGACCACCAAACAGCAACAACCAAATTTGTTACTGAGGACAGATCGATGATGATTAACAAAAACTTTGTACTTAGTTTAAAAAATAGTTGACCACAAAGAGAATTGCTAAACTGAGTTAACTCATTATGGTTTGAAGATGATACAAGGTAGACGTCTATCACATTTAATGCATTTACGCTCCACGTTAACCAAGAGTTTTGCTCCATGTCTCTCTTGGTTTTGGGATGCTCTCTTCAGTAATTTAAATTTTAAAAAGAAAAAAAGCCATAAAGCCAGGCATCAATATTTATAATAATGGTTTCAATTTTACTCAGTAGTKCACAACACTGTGGACCACATTTCACTTTTTTACCTCCCCAGATAACCTGGTAGTAGAACTCTGAGCAGGAGACGGTTACTATAGAAACAAAGCTCTCACCAATTACCCAGCGATGGAGGTGTGATTTGAGAGTTAATGACATGTCTAAATGCAAAGCTACTCAGCAGCACAGCTCCACCATCATCTTCCCTGCGTTTACATTAGTACCATGTTTCTAACAGGCACGTACCACATCGGCCAACAGCAGGCTGTACAGCAGCTGCATCGWCCTCTGTTTGAGTCTCTTGTCAGGTCTGCGCATAAAACTCAGGCCTACAGAGGAAGCMGTGGATACAGCTTCCAAACTCATCCGTCTGCATGTGGTGAATGGTGGAAGAGTCTGTACCAAGCTTAGTGTTGAGTAGAACTTGCTGCTAAGCGTGCTAGCTTGAATTCTTCTTCCATGTTTGAAAAATGTTTATATAAACACAGGTCTGTAACAGTACCTTAGCGTATCCCATCAGAAGAGGTCACATACAGCCATAGGAAAAATTGCAATCTCTCTGCAGCTCTCTTTTTTGTTATAGTGATTTTCCCTGAACACATCAACAGGCTGTCAGATAAATGAGGCAGCTAATGCACAGAAGCTGTTGTTGAAAGAAATTTGTCAACTCTGAGGGTATTGAACATAACACTTCTGTTTGCTTTATTTCCTCCCCCTCTTTGTTAGTAGTTGTTCTGATGAGGCTTTTCTCTGACTATCTGGTGGACTTCTGGATATATTTTTTGTCTCCAAGCAACCAGAGATGAACTTGTAGCCTACATGTGCTCCTTTTTTCTGGTCTGGGCTCAGTCCCCCAGTGGTCACAGCACATACTACATGCTATTAGGGCTGGGCAATGTGACTGTAAACTACAGTTGTCATATATTGGAGCTTTATTGTGACATTCAACATACAGTATAGTGCAATATTTTTTATATCTTCCTGCCACAAATTCTCCTAAATCACTCGTACGCACAACTTAAGAACAAATCTGTCCGTACATCTGTTGCATGAGGTCCATTGTGAGAATAATAGCAATATCACATTCCCAGACTGGATTGAGAGAATAAAGTGAAATTAAAGGGATCCACGATTAGTTGCAACATTAGACTTTATTTGACAAACATTTATTTTAACTGTAAAAATAGTATAGGGTGTTTAGTTTTTAAAAATTTTAAACTAAATTTTTAAAATACATATTACATGGACTGAGCTATTTTATTTACATGCAAAGCATTCTGGGTGAATGACGTTCACAGGTCCTCGGTGTGAACGAGCTATATCCACTCTGAAGGTTCTATATCCAC